CATCGTCAACTTGTATACGTTAAACTGTAAACAAACAAATATATATATGATTATTATAGAATAATTATGTAAAATCAAAATTATTTTATTAAATATATTTTATATTTTTGAAAACAGGTATTTATTAAAATAATTATAGCATACTCAAAAAGGTCTTCCTTTTAAATATAGACTCACAAAATTTTATGCTTTCGTTTTGTGACACTTATTCGAATACTCGTTCGAATCATTTCAATAAATAAAATAACACAAAACAGATGCTTTATTTTGCACAAATCACATAGCAAATGTAAGACACTCACCTCACCGATTTCTCCGCTGTTGCCCGATGCCACCCTGGGCCTCCTCCTCCTCTCAGATTTCCTTGGTGCACTCACACAACACTCGCGAAAATCATCGATCGCGCGAAATTTCGGACACTCCCGTACGCGACGTAAAATATCGCGAAACGCACGAATATAAAACGCAACGCGAGCATCGGAATCCAAGCAATCTGCGGTAATGAAGTAGTTATTAGTCCCCAACGAAACGATATTTTACAATCTCTATTGTCATTCAATCTAATCCTTCAAGTGAATCGTGTGAACGAAACCACCAGCGATAAATAGTTGTTATTAATTGCAACAGTTAATCGAGATCATTTTCGATTGCATTTACATAATGTAATAACGCGCAATGAGCAACTTTCTGTACTTTCTACCCGTTCGAGTTGCGAAGAACGACAGAGCAAATTACAACGCAAACGCCAAAGCCGCACAAATTTCTCTCTCTTTTCCCGAAAGTGAAACAGATTACACGAAATCGACAGATAATTGAAACACGCGGTGCGTAAACGAGATGTAATCGCGACAAATTACCACGGTTTGCATTCATACCTTACAATTAGATGAGTTAGTCTCGTGAAATCTACGTTGACAAAGGCCGCCGCGTGCAAATTATTTTTCATTACAAGTTATACTATTCTGTCGTCAAACGTTACTTATTAATAATAAACGTGTACAAATCAATAGAGTTTTATCCCCACATTAATCGCGATCGCGTCTTGGAAATCGATAACGCAAAAGTAATAGCACTCACGGAGCGACTCTCGCCACTGCTTGCCGGCTCGACGTTCGGCGAGCGAGTGATAGCGCGTTTAACCTTCAGGTAAACGTTGGCCCGCAAAAACATCGTACGTCACCGCGCCGAGTGAAAAACAACAGAAAAACGTTGAAAATTCGTTGGCCCGCTTAATCGTCGTACGATACCGTGCCGCGTGAAAAACAACAAAAAAAACGTTGAGAATCCGTTGGCCTGCCTACGCAATGGAAAATTCTGTACTTAATATTTTATTGTACATTACTTTGTTCCGTGACTGTTGCTACGTTTTGCGTATTATTCCGCGGACTTATTGGTATTGATTAAATTAACGATGAATTCTGTTCAATCGAGAAAATGTTTCGACACAAAAATCATTGTTACTTAAATTCCAATTACTAAGATTAGAGATTTTATAGTTGTTGTATACAAAGGTACATATTGCAAATTTTCATTTACTATAGACAAATTATCAAATTATATACTTTAATAATATAAATCGGTATAAAATACTTTATTGGAAATAGCACTGCGCGCGCTACTTGGCTTTAATTTATTTGATATTAATTTATAAGATTTATTTTTATGCGAAGAAGACGTAATCTGACGTTGACACTCTGTCAAAATACATATTACATGATCTCCGCACTGACAGCTACTCGCGGTAGAAAGCCACGCGAGAAAATCAGCATCGCGGAACAGCGTCAATAATTAAATCTTTTATATACCTTTTAAAAAGAAGATTAGTTATCGTTGTATCTCATTAGAAGAATAAGAATTTCTTCCATTCTTCTTCACTCAATTAGATATTTAACTTTAACTTCTTTTTCTTTAACTCTTTGCTTTTTGAGAAAATCAATCGACATCGCGGAAAAGAGGTCTTAACTGTACGATATTAACAATTCACGCCGGTAACATCTCTTTTTTAGAAAGGGACAATAAATGCATAATTGCTTAAAACTACACAGAGAAACTTTCTCTTAAAGTTTATCCTGAAAATTGTGTAATCGTGGGACGACACGACATTTCGAAGAATTTTATGAGAATTTTTGGAAATTTTATTATACATTTTACTAGTATTCGTACTTAAGGAGGATGGTTGCTAAAATGAAGACGATAAAAATAAATTCAAATTTATAGAAAATATTCGTCTATGGGAATCTATCCTCCATACAAAAGTTTAAGACGATTGCCTGCATGGTTGTCGAATAATTAATTATTAAAGTTATACGAGTACTATTGCATTGCACATGGCCAACATAGCAAAGTATTACGATATCTGTAATTTAATTCTCGAAAGCATGTTAAAAATGATAAGAATTTTATAAAAATAAGTGCAAATAATTCTATGCATATTTACGAAGAATTTTGATAATGTATATATATCTACACATATACAATACATATATGTTCTTGATAACTACGTAGACAAGTCATTTTAGTATTCGTTAAAATTCTTTGTAAATATGTATAGCATTATTTGCACGTATTTTTATAAAATTCTTATAATTTTTACATATATGTATATAATTATACATATATTGTATATGTATATGTATATACAGGGTGAGTCTTTTCATATCCGACAAAATTTTTGAGACGGTAGAACGGATCGAGATGAACGGAAAAGTCCTGTACCATTTTGCAATTTTCGTAATAGTTAACGAGTAATTAATTATTAAAAATCGTTGTCTTAGGCCGGCCTACCGTCCAATTCGAGCGCGTGGCAAGATGTGTCCGCCCGGCGATCGATATTGCTATGCGCACATCTCGCCACGCGCTCGAATTGAGCGGTAGGCAGGCCTAAGACAATGATTTTTAATAATTAATTACTCGTTAACTATTACGAAAATTGCAAAATGGTACAGGACTTTTCCATTCATCTCGATCCGTTCTACCTTCTCAAAAATTTTGTCGGATATGGAAAGACTCACCCTGTATATTATCGTTTTAATATATGTATACATATATATTTTTCTAAAATTTTTCTAAAATTTTGAATTCATTTTTATTTGAACAACCAACCACTTTAATATACATTTTACTGATAAAGTGTATGGTAAAATTTAAAAAACTCTCATAAAGTTCTTCGAAATGCTATGTTGTCCCGCGATTACACGATTTTTAAGATAAATTTGAAGCGAAAATTCTCTCCCTGTATACATAGCAAGATTATCAAAATTGTTGTTTAGGGAAAATCAATTTCAAATCGAGCCATTTTCATTCTCAAATTTGGATACGGCAGCAGCGAACACTCCATATAGACGGTAAGTGCAAGGGGTTAATCACCCCGTGAACTCGCCATATATTGATCTCTCATTCTTCGCCGCCCTTTCCCTTGCCGCTCTCGCAGTACGCAGTTCAGCCCTCTCCTTTCATTTCGAGGAGCGGTCCTGCGGCGTCTGCGTACTCCCTTTACGCACATGCGTGTACCTACACGCATCCAGGCTAGCGGGATATCTCAGGACAGGAGTTACCGCTCATGCTCACAATCAGTGAGAACTCTGGATACCGGGAGACTGATACTCGTGGAAAAACGACTTGTTAGTTAAAAACCACCCGTCACGCTTGCCCCACGTTGCTACGCCTCGACAGTGCAATCACGCTCCTTTGTCCTGAGACGCGCCATCGTACGGTTTGCGCACATCTGACGTGATTCCGGCGAGACCGTTCCCGCTGGAAGGACCCGGTCGATCGAGCTAAAGTTATGACAAGTGTCCGGGAAGGTGTCGCGAATAAAATTCGCTATGCGATACGCGATGGTATGAAAAACCACTTGTAATTGGGTCTTGGTGCGAGAAACGATTATGACGTGAGTGGATGCGAGGGTGTGAAGGATACGAATGGGGAATCGATGCGATTCGATACGTCGCTGGACTAACCGATAACAGAACCATTTGATTGACGTTACTGGATTCCAAGGTGATATCGGCACTTATATAATCGTACGTGATAAGAAAATAGTGCGAGTTTTTAACTCAGCGGGCTTATATAAACTTCAGAAGTTCGTTAAGTATTAAAAGAAAAAGCACTTTGATTAGCGGACTGTCTGCCTATTAAGTAAACGCATCGAATGGATAGCTACGACGATCTTACGAGATGACCGACAAGACTTAAATTATATTGCAGGATATAGTGTCCTCAAAAAGAAATAATGATAAGATTCTAACTGCAAATGAGTCCATATAATCTAGTGCTTCGTGTAATTGTATGGTTACTGCGGAACTCTACAGGTATTCTCAATAAATAGAGAAAACAACGAAGACTTGTTATGCCTTATGAGAGTAGATAGAGCAGATAAGATCAAAATAATGTACGACAGATGACAATCACAAGTTACTATAAATTACGAGGATAATTTAGGTGAAACTCACTCATTACGAAGTTACGAAGACTAATAGCTAAAAAGACGAAAGGAGGAGCAAAACGATCGCGATCTTCGCCGTCCCCTGGACCAATGAAATCCGCGAACAAAGCAATAAGCGTCTTATCAGCCTAACGGAACACCTAGCGGATAAGAAAGATCTCTCAGGGGAGAACGTCGTAAAGAAGCTCGAGAGGAAAGTCGGAGAAATGACGGAAGGTGATCATCCCAGCGATAGAAATCGCCACACCGTTGCACATGACAATAACAATTTGCCCGATAACGAGGGCTGGAGATCAGGCGGCACTCGGTAGACAAAGAGAGACGAGCGACCCGCCGGGCGGTGGGAGCAGCGTCGGGAGTGCGGAGGCAACACCTACGCACCGTGGCGAGCGCGATGCCGCGGTAAGAGTGAGGCGGCGAGCGGGTACACGCTCCGCGAGTCCACGCGCAGCGTGCTCCGTAATTCCCTCCGGCAGCGGCGCGGTGCGCCCGAAGCCGCGTGGCGCTGGCTTCGTATCTCGGAGGCGGCTGCACTCCTCCACCACCACCACCACCATCCCCTGCTGACGGTCGACCGAGAGCGACCGACTCTGACAGTGGCTCGGCCGACCGATGACAGCCGAGGAGGCGTCAGTCCTCAATGCGCCAGCGTGCCGTGTGGAGCGGTCGCGCGCGCTTTAAACGTGCGGAGTAGCACGCGTGGACAGCCAGCTGTCAAACTCTCCGCGCGCCGCACTCGACGACCACGCTGGTGGATCCCAGCTTGCAAGTGAATCCATCGCCGTCTGCTCCAGGGTCAGGTGGCTCACGTGCGATCGTACTCCTCATTTTCCCCCGGCGGAACCTCGCGTACGTTCCTATTCCGTGTCGCGCAACCCCGCGTGATTCTTCCTAGTCCCCGAAAGATGTGCGTCGCCCTCAACGTCTTCGCAGGGCCGGCATCGTGTGGTTTTCACCGAGACATCCGACGGGCGTGCACGAGTTACTCGTAGAAGGAAGAGCGTGCCGTGAAGGGATACGCGCCGTTTTTTCATTCCCGAAGAGCGAGACACCACGCAGGAGCAGCGCGATGACGGAGCTAGCCAAGGAGGCGTTCACCTCCCGCAACTACCACCTGGCGGTCGAGCTGTACGAGCGATGCCTGAAGCAGCAGGGCTCGAGCTACGAGGTGCTGCTCGGCTACGGCGACTCCCTGGTCAAGTGCGGCCGGGTCAGGGAGTCGATCGAGATCTACTCCAGGTGCTCGACCGTCATGTCCGTGCCGGCCGACAGACTCAAGCACCTGACGACCGCGCTTCTGGAAGACGTGGTCGGGGCCAGCTCCAGACGGAGGCTCGAGGTATCTTTCGCGTGTCCGCTGTGCGAAGGCATCCTCTGCCAGCCGGTGACCACCGCCTGCGGCCACACGTACTGCAGGAACTGCGTGGATCTGTCCAGGAGCTGTCGCGTGTGCGGGGCTAAAATCGTTGTTGTGAGTGAAACGAATGTGCTGGTGCAAAGACTCGTGGAGAGATGGTGGCCGCGAGAAGCGGAGGCCAGTCGGGCGAGGCACGAGGGTGATATCCTCGTGAGGAAGGGTCACCTAGGTCAGGCGCTCGAGAGATACAACCTGGCGGTTCATCTTGGTAAGTAAATCGCACTTATTACCCCTCTCGCCACGCATCCCATGGAGAACGCTCGGTCGCATCTGACGTATCTGACGTATCGGTACTTTTTATCAGTGACACGACGTGCGATTTAAATTCTCCTTCTATTGCGTAGGATAGAAAAAAAAGGCTCTTATTGATTACGTGACTCCGGATAGCCACGGATTAATAATGCCTTTGTTAAACACTAATTTTCCTCCTCAATTTGTTCCGATGTTGAAAATGTGTCTCGATCTACAAGTTAATAAATTTAGGTTTGGTTGCCACGAAGAAACTTATTTTGTGAAAAGATAGGACACGTTTAATAAAAAATGTCATATTAGGAAAAAGTGTTCGAAACGTACATTTTGACGTTTTTAGATTTTACCTAAATCTCTTTAGTGTTTTACAATTGTTTGATATTAGTGTAAACAGTAATACAACTAAAAGAAATGTATCATATTAAAATAAGGAAGATTAAAAGCGATTAGGTAATACCTTAATAGAGTAACGATAAAAATTTAATATTATTTAATATAAAACAATACATGTCTGGAAGAAATACATATCTGGGAGAAATTTAATACCTAAATATTGCGTAATGACTATGAATCACAAAGATTCAGTTATCAAATTTTGATATTTTCTATTTGAATCATGCTGCTTATCACTTCGACGTATCGTATCGGTATCACAATTTCATTGATGCGTTCGTCGTTAAATGCCTCTACAACTTGAGTTTGAAATAAAATTAAAATAGTACAACCAAGTTGTGAATAATTTTCAAAAGAATAACACTAGAAGCAATTCTTGAAAAATCAGGCAATACCATTTTTAATTCATTCTGTTCGCGAGCAAAGGGTAACAACATGTGGTTATATAAAGGTTATTACGAAACACCTAATCTGAATAACGTTTCAGGCAAGTTGGTAAACTAAAATTATACTGGTTTATCATTCGCATTTCATAGTCTGTCTTGATTTAATCAAAATCACAAGCGTTTTGCGCCAAATAATTTTCGCTTTTCGAAAGGACCACATTTCCATTAAATCTGGATTAATACAGGTAGACCAGTTGCTTAAAGCACGCGATGTATTCATGGATTTAGTCCACGTGCGGATATACATATGTCAGATAGCAACAGAGCCAAATCTGCTGCGACAATGAATGGAATCGGCAGTCTTTTAAACATCAATTAATAAACACTTGAGAATAAGAGAAAAAGATTCGTATCGGAAAAATTCACAGATATTAATTTTTATGTTTTATTATTTAGAATACAATAATATTGTAATTCTAATCAAATTTTTTTATACAATTTATGTTGTCTACTTATTTGTGAATACTCGCATTTTAATTTCAAAAAATTCAATATTAGCGAAATAAATAACAAATGAAAATAGAAATTTTTATAGAAAAATAAAAAATACTGAATACAATTTTAACATATATTTATAATATTTGAAAACTATTAAACAGAAACATCTGTTGAAAATTATATACATTCGAGTAAAGTTAAATAAAATACGTTAAATAAAATAAAACAAATAAATATATATTATAATAAAATCATTGCGAAACTGTATACATATATTGCAGTAATATCAGGTCTCGACAATTATTGCTTCACAATTTTTGTGATCTTAATAACAAACTTTTAATTGTGCACAAACAAAATAAAATAAGAAAAAGAATAAACAATGCGCAAGGCACAATTGTAAAAGAAAAAAAGAAAAATTTTTAATAAATTTAGCGCGTATTTAAACTTTTATTAAATATTATAATTATTCATAAAAATCCAGATCTCAATACACTTTTAATGATTTTTATATAAAAGCTGCCTAAAATTTTGTTACATTATGACCAATTTTCTTTCTTTTTGGCTGAACTTTTCAGCACCGAGATTTTGGAACACGATTTCGAGAATAGAATTGCTGAATTCTGGATATCATTTATGTTTGAATAATGTTTCTTTGGTAAGATCGTATCTGGGAAGTGATGTAGAAATGATTTATTTCTCGAAAAACAAACGAAAGCTTTCGCGTTAGAGACGAACAGCAGAGATCGGAATTGCGTTTGATGTTTAACGCTTAACTGCTCTGAGTACGAGGAAGAATTTTAGTTACTGAATTTTTGTTAAGACTGTCGCAATATCTTCAACGGTTTTATCTGCAGATGAAAAAAATGTACTTAAAAATAGATTATTCATATATATTTATATAATAATTATATTATTCACCAAATTTTTTATGTAAATATAATAATATTCAAATCAAAATGTTTTTTACATTAAAAAGTACCTTCGTAAATTTAATTTACCTTTGTATGTTAAATCTAAGACTAGCAAATAACTAGACCCTATTAGGTCAAATTTTACTGTCAAGTATTAAAAAGATAATTTTAAATTGAATGTAATTTATTATAATTAATATCTATATGTGCATTACTAACAATTTCGATTAGTTTCTAACTTCTAAATTTCTAAATTACTTACATTGTTTTTATTTAAATACACATGCTGAATGATACGATTTTTGAGCAGATAAAAGTTAGAAATGAATTATCGTGTTACGTACCAGTATAAACAAAAGGCAAAGTGAGATAGGTCAACAAATGATACATTTCTAGATATAAACTTAATCGTTATTCAGCAGTTCTATAATTATTGTGTTTATAAAGATAAACATACTACCCATGATTTTTCAATGAAAAAGTGTTGAACCTCATCTCTAAATTTAGTTTCGTTCTTAATTTCTCCCTCTCTCTCTCCCTCATTATATTTAACTTTTTTAAAGTAAGCTGTACTAAATACTCTAATTACCACACTGAAATAATTTTATTCATACATAATGACTTAATAGAGCTCCAAGGTAGAAGAAACAGCGAATATTATTATATTTACATTAAAACCGACAGTTATATAAAAAACAAAGGCAAATAAAGTGAAACATTTACTTAATTTCTACGTATTGATTTATAATTAAATCCTTATATACATATATGTATATTTTATATACTTAGTTTTGCTTTCTTATTCATAATTGCTACTGTAATAATTTATAGTAGCTATTTCTGTGATGGAATACTGAAATCCGTACTCTCTTTCGTGCATATCCGAGTGCACTGAACGTGTGTAAAGTGCGTGGAAAGGGAGGCGTCCGCGTTCGACTGCGACGATCACGACGACGCCGTTAAGTTCACGGCCAGTCCGAGGCGGTTCTTACATAACACTTCTTAGAGATATCGGCCTGAATCGACGACGTCCCATCCGGAGACACGCTACGTCTACCCCATGAGATACATCGTATAAATATTTACACGTTCTGAATCAATCCTCACGTTTTTCAACGTTTGACTTGCAAAACTATGTCTTGGAATGCTAAATTCTCCCTCGGGCAAGACCTTTATGGGTTGCAGACAGCATTAAATGTACGCTCAATTACTTGTGCTCACTCTTTGTATTTTCTATTAAAACTTCGAGATATTATTTACGTTGCATAACGAAATATTTCTAGTTTTGCCTGCAACTTTCAATTTATTATGTAAAAGTGTACGACAAGTTAAAAAGTCGAATATTAAGTTTAACTAAAAGTTACGATTTAACGAAATGATATTAATTCACATTGATATACTCACCGTGTTAATAATAATTCTTACTACGAGTTTATGGAGATGATCGCGTCATCTCCATCTCCATCTCCTTTGTGCCGATTTTCGAGGCTGATTACAGAAGTTATCTGTACGATTCTGCCTCTCCGAGGTTGTCGAGCAACAGAATTACCAAGAACAATGACGCGTATACGCGATAACAAGTAAGCGCTTCGTGACTAATCGACCTCGCCAAGATCGTCCTTGTTATCTCTGTCATCACGCATACCTTGGAATAGGACCTTTCGCGAGAAAAATATCCAAGGGATCGTGCATCGTGACGCGTATTCGAATAGGTTTCTCGTCGCCTGAAAATCTATTCGCTGTTTTCAACGATGGCAAGAGTTTGGCAAACATAAAATTGAGAGCCACGAAGACGTTTTTGCCACCAACAATTTATAACGGGAATGAAATATTTGGTAACATGTGAAAAGTGAATTGACAGCGAAACAATTAGAAGAAAACAAACCCTCGTCCCTCTATTTAAGTAGCGTATTTGTGTGTTAATTTAACATCTTTCTCTTGTGCTAATCTCAAATGTAAAAATTGCATCTTTTTTATTCGTCTTGTCATTAAAAATATGTGGACCATTTGAGACATGTGATATCTGTTAAATTTAACACAAATTTTTCAACTGTGTACGGGAATCGAGTATATGCAATCGCGCGCGAATATAAATGTAAGACATAAACTACGGTATCTAAGTACCTCATTTTAGATTTGGCAAGAGAAAACATTCATTATACGCAGAAAAAAAAAGACCAGCACAATTGTCATAAATGAAATCGTGGTGCAACGATAATCGTAGTGTACCAATGTAAGATTTCCTCGAGAAATGCGATTAGCGAGTGACGCAGTTGTTTACACGTGTGTGACGCGTAAATACTGTATATAACATTGAATCGAAATCCTCGCAAATATATTGCGCTGTACAATAAATTGTCGAGTTAAAACGTGAAGATTACGTAAAGCGACGTTATCGCTCACAGCGTGTTTACCAATAAACGGTTTCACGTGGAAATGAAATTTTAAGGCTCGGAACATCTCGCTAGAATAAAACGGGCTACGTATGAGTACGGTAGCCATGCTGCCCTCGGTCGCACCTGCATCGTTCACCTGGCCTGCAGGTCGATTACGGTAGTTTTAATAACGTTTCTCGGTGACGCCGCACACTGAGCTTCATAACGAAACTCGGTGACGCAATAATTGAAACAAAAATTTTACTTTATCAGCAAATTATGTAATAAATAAACAAATGATTAGATAAAATCATTATTACAATCGCGAATCCTAAGAAATTCCTTTATCTCAAAAAGTCCTTGAAGTTAAAATTTTTCGAAAATAAAACTATA